CGTGCTAGGGTGGGGTCGTGCATTTCGCTCGAGACATCCTGCCAAAATTCCAGGAAATCGTACAAAAAACAAAGGAATTAGTCGAGACATCATCGAAATTCCTTCGCGCGGGGCGCTTTTCCGCGTCGCGGTCGGCTCTGCAAAACAAGCGTTTCGCTCGAGACATCCTCGGCAAACTCTGCGGAGCAAGCGTTTCGCTCGAGACATCCTCAACACACGAAAAAGTGGCCCGCACCCTGTGATTTATCGATCGGGATTTCAAAAACAAGCGTTTCGCTCGAGACATCCTCAAATTTAAATTCGCCGGCCTCCTTCGACCTCGTTATTTATCAGGGAAAAAATTCGCGGGCAATTCGCCGGCCTCCTTCAAGCAGGCACCGGGGGACTAGTTTACATACTAAAAGAGAACCCTGGGCTCATGCCCTTTCCGGGAAAAACATGATGGACCCACGAACCCGGAAAGGGATATAGACATGTGGAGCATGGACACGTTTTCATGATACCCAACTGGGCAACACCTCACGAAACATCCCACGAGACACCTCACGAAACAGCCACGAGACACCTCACGAAACATTCCACGAGACACCTCACGAAACATTTCACGAGACACCCCGCGAAACATTCCACGAGACACCCCACGAAACATTCCACGACGACAGGCAACCACTCAACCAAGGCGGGGTGGTCGTGCTGGGGAGTGGTCGTGCTGGGGGGTGGTCGGGCTGAGGGGGTGGTCGTGACTGGGGGGTGGTTCGTGCTGGGGGGTGGTCGTGAGGGGGGGGTGTCGTCGCTGGGGCGTGGTCGGGCTGGGCGTGGGTCGTCGCTGGTGGCTGGTCGGCTTTGTTCGTTGTTAGGCCCGGTTGTCTTAGGAACTTTTTTACGAAGTCCGTGTTTTGTGTGTCTCTATTACGTTTGGATGGGGCGTGGTCGTGATGGGCGTGTCTGTGGGGGTGGGGTCGTGCTGTGGTAAGGTCGTGCTGGGTGTGGTCGTGCTGGGGTGGTCTTGCTGGAGGTGGGGTCGTGCTGGGGTGTGTGTCATGCTGGGGGTTGGGGTCGTGCTGGGGTGTGGTCGTGCTGGTGGTGGGGTGTGGTCGTGCTGGGGTGTGGTCGTGCTGGGGTGTGGTCGTGCTGGGGTGTGGTCGTGCTGGGGTGTGGTCGTGCTGGGGCGTGGTCGTGCTGGGGTGGGGTCGTGCTGGGGTGGGGTCGTGCTGGGGTGGGTTCGTGCTGGGGTGCTCCGCACCCTGTGATTTATCGATCGGGTCGTGCTGGGGTGTGGTCGTGCTGGGATGTGGTCGTGCTGGGGTGTGGTCGTGCTGGGGTGTGGTCGTGCTGGGGTGTGGTCGTGCTAGGGAGTGGTCGTGCTGGGGTGTGGTCGTGCTGGGGGGTGGTCGTGCTGGGGGGTGGTCGTGTTGGGGGGGTGGTCGTGCTGGGGGGTGGTCGTGCTGGGGCGTGGTCGTGCTGGGGCGTGGTCGTGCTGGGGCGTGGTCGTGCTGGAGTGTGGTCGTGCTGTGGTGAGGTCGTGCTGGGGTCGTGCTGGGGTGTGGTCGTGCTGGGGTGTGGTCTTGCTGGGGTAGGGTCGTGCTGGGGTCGGGTCGTGCTGGGGTGTGGTCGTGCTGGGGTATGGTCGTGCTGGGGTGGGGTCGTGCAGGGGTGGGGTCGTGCTGGGGTCTGGTCGAGCTGGGGTGTGGTCGTGCTGGGGTATGGTCGTGCTAGGGTGGGGTCGTGCATTTCGCTCGAGACATCCTGCCAAAATTCCAGGAAATCGCACAAAAACAAACGTATTAGTCGAGACATCCTCGGAATTCCTGCGCGAGGAGCGCTTTTCCGTGTCGCGGTCGGCTCTGCAAAACCAGCGTTTCGCTCGAGACATCCTCAGCAAATTCTGAAAACAAGCGTTTCGCTCGAGACATCCTCAACTCTGCAAAACCAGCGTTTCGCTCGAGACATCCTCAAGAAATTCTGAAAAACAAGAGTTTCGCTCGAGACATCCTCAAATTTTAATTCGCCGGCCTCCTTCGACCTCGTTATTTATCAGGGAAAAAATTCGCCGGCCTCCTTCAAGCAGGCACCGGGGGACATGTTTACATACTAAAAGAGAACCCTGGGCTCAGGCCCTTTCCGGGAACAAATTCTGAAAAACAAGCGTTTCGCTCGAGACATCCTCGACAAATTCTGAAAAACAAGCGTTTCGCTCGAGACATCCTTAAATTTTAATTCGCCGGCAATTCGCCGGCCTCCTTCAACCTCGTTATTTATCAGGGAAAAAATTCGCGGGCAATTCGCCGGCCTCCTTCAAGCAGGCACCGGGGACTAGTTTCAAATCTAAAAGAGAAACCTGGCCGGATAATTTCGGGAATGAAAAAAACAAAGTTTCGCTCGAGATCCTCGTCAAATTCTGAAAAAACAAGCGTTTCGCTCGAGACATCTCGTTATTTTTAATTCGCAGGCAATTCGCCGGCCTCCTTCAACCTCGTTATTTATCAGGGAAAAAATTCGCGGGCAATTCGCCGGCCTCCTTCAAGCAGGCACCGGGGGACTAGTTTACAAACTAAAAGAGAACCCTGGGCCGGAGCCCTTTCCGGGAAAAACACAGGGGATTTCAGCTATTTCCGAATTTATGCAACTTCAAGAATCCAAAACTCCGTTCCCAGCGCCGTTCCGGAGGCCGCGGCACCTCGTTATTTATCGAGCGAACGCGTTTACCTCGTTTTTTTATCGTTTACAGTCGATGTCGGAAAAAAGTGGAAATCACCTGTGAAATATCGAGGTTTCCTTAAAAGCAGTAAAATTCCAAGAGCACGATCTGCGTGAGGGGTGGCGAAAAATTGCCTTCGTCTTCACAGTTGAAACCTGACCAGACAAGAACGGGAAGCGAAACACAAGACGCGAGACGCACCAGAGGAGAGAAGGAAGGAAGTTGAAGGATAAAGGATGATGTGCACAGAAACGCAATATCAAAGCAGGCTCAAAAACAAGGACTGGATGGCGGCCAGCACATGGATACGGAAAGGGGAGAGCAGATCGAACAAAAACAGCAGAATGGATGTGAAGAGGGCCATCGGCCAGCGGAAGAGCCGGAGCACAAGCATAAGGATGAGGAAATGGCAGTCGAACGTTACTGGGAGAACAGCAGAGGCAGCAAGATATTCTCCACGGCCGCGCGTGGTGGCACTGTCGCGGAGGGGGAGGGTGGGCGCGAAGACTAGCATTGGTAACCCCAACCGATTAGAAGAGGTCACACGGCTGTCGCGACAAATGGGGCAACACCGCGCAAGCGCGGCCGTGGTGGTTGCCCTCTCACGAGGAAGTCTAAGTCGACAGCGGAGAAAATGCATGGAACGGATTACTGAGAGCTGCGGGCTTGCGGTTGTCATGCCGCCGTGCGTGCGATGTCCTGGAGAAGAATGTGGGGCGTCTGTCGGGATGCCATAGGAGGCCTCTTGGGAACCTGTTCAGCGAGCGTTAATGCGAGGCGCCTTTTCACGGGTAAGTTCGCGAGGTTCTCGGCCTCTTAGAGGCGCATCGCGATTCGGATTGACCGGCCCACGGTGGGGGGCATCGAGATCATGAAAACGGGCCAAAAGAGGACTGGGATGCGCCGATGACGGTCTAAGAGGTGTCGAACACGCTCAAAGATATCAGAGCTTCGCAAAGGGTGTTCAAGTTGACCGAAGAGCCCTGAAGACGCCACAAGAGACCACCAAGAGGCCTTAACATAATTCCGAAAAGCTTGCGGAGGGGATTCGCAGCAGAGGGCCACACCGTTGAATGCCATTATTGATATGATGTTGTTTGTCAATCACCTCTTCGGCTGCACGACGCTAGAAGACTCGAAAAGAGGTATCCATGACAGGCCAAAAGGATGCCACGACGCACTCCAGACGACCGAATGGGGCCACCAAGCTGCCCAAGAGGCTGAGGAGGGCCTAAGAGACTCGCGAGACGTGTCCAGAAAGCGTTCCGGGTAGGGAGCATAAAATTAAACATGGAGTCTTCCAGTCCAAAAGATGTTCGGGGGGCTGCAAGAGTAGCAAACGGGTTCCAAGAATTCCGCTAGAAGGCTGAAGATGTTCCAAGAAGGTCCAAGAGGGTTCCAAGATTACCCAAGCGGGACAGGAAAGCGACCAATTTTTGGGAAAATGCTTGCGGGGCGTCGACCGCCCCAAAAAGTGGTCGGTTTTCGGTGTATATCTCCAGTAGGGCGGCGGCAGGCGTGAGCCCGTTGCGCGCGTCCTGATTGCGCGGTGATTCTCTTCAGTCGGAGACCGAGGTAGGCTAGAAGAAAACACTACGGCAGAGAGGTTGGTGGTAACGCGCTCCAGCGTTAAATCTCCTACACGGCATCGCAAGAGGGGGCGCGGGGGGCGGGCGCCTGGGAGTAGCAGGTGGTAGCCAGTTCGACAAGTATTGGAAAAGGTGGCGCGCGTTGGACGGGAAGGCATGAGGGCACGTCGAGCGGGGAAAGCCACGGATAGGACAATGGTTCGGTGAAGACACGGATGGCGTAGCTTCCCTGGGAATGGAAAAATGCAGGACTGAACAACAAGAGAATAGCAGGACAACAGATTAATTCTGTTCGGGCGTGGTTATCTTGTTTGTTTGGGCGGGGCGGTGTGTCCATGAAGTTCCTTCCGCTTGCGTTCCTCATGCGATTGTTTGCGCGTTAGTTGCGAGCTGTCGGGTTGGCCCAGGCAAGCGCAAAGGTTGGGCCACATGGCCTGGGCCGGCTGCTCTTCGGAGACGCTTGCGGGGCTGCGAAACATTGCCGAATTGGCCGAAGAGGGGTCCGAAGAAAACCCGAAGGCATCGCTGGAGCAGCGCGTGTGTTCTGACGGAACGCATTGTTTTTTCGCAGATGATCGGTGAGGCGTCGCTTTGCATGAGTCAACGCAATGTCATCGGTCGCGTCGGCGTAGGGCAGCATGTTCGACGCGCACGTTAGCCTCTAATGCGCAAACTCGAACGGGAACTACTGCGCGCCGCGCACTGCCGGCAGCTCAGGCCGCGTGGGGGACGCCCCCGAGGAAGTGGGCCACGCGCTTCCGCTCGGGAGAGAGGAACGCGGTCACTGCGTTCTGAAAGGAATCGTTGTCGTCACGTTTGCGTTTGAGCTCCACAGCAGGCTGCTTGACGGTGTCCCAAGCGGCGGCCAATTCCTTCTCCCACTCAGGGTAGCTCGCAGCATCCTGCATGTGCCAGACGTCCGACAGCACGAGAGTGCGAGAGTTCGCATCCACGTGGGTCACGTGAACGAGCGCGACGTGATTGCGGGCGATGGAGTATTGTGGCAAGCGGGCGACGACTGAAGTAGTAGTCGCGGTCCATTTCGTGTCCTGGTCGGTGCCGATGACATCGGTGATCATGTTCTTGATGGCAAACCCGCCCGCGATGCTGTCGACCTGCGGCTGCTGGACTCCACGCGCGAGCACGAGGGCCCCGGTGGCGAGGACTGGCGCGGGGGCGAGGCTGGAAGCGATGGTCAACCGACCCGTTGGTGACTGCGCTAGCCACGGCAACGTCGCGGGGAGGAGGCCGTCCTCGCTGGGGGCACGCGGCAGTGGGTCGGCGTGGTCGTACTGGCGGGTCTCGCCGCTGACGATGACGAGAGATGGCGTCTTCGGGCCGACGGAAGAATCCGCGGAGTCCTTAGGGGCAGCAAATCGAAGGCGCAACCGGGCCCTCTGGAATTGCAGAGTGCGTTGGCCACAGCGGACAGGAAAGCGTCCTTATCTTCCGACTCCGAAAGGGCGAGAGCCGTAGCTTCTGGGAGATAGGCGCCCAAAGAACCAGACGCGTCGGACACGGACACTCTGGCGTGCACGCGTTCCATGCCGTGGGCGCACAAACGCTCTGGGTTAGCGTCAGCCAGCGTCAGCGCACAGGAAGGCACCTCGAAGAGCGTCTCCGGCAACACTGTCTGGAAGCTAGTAACGAATTCGAGAGCTGAGATGTTCATGAACACGGCCGGGCCCTTCGCGTAGTCGGCTGCGGGGGCGCCTGTGGTGAGCGCCTTGGTCTCGATGGTGGACGCGTCCAAAGTGAGCAGGGCCTTAGCGCCTGGGAGAGAACCAGACGCCTTGCGCATGACGGTCGATGCGTTTGCGGAGAGATGAACGCCGCCACCGCTCTCCTTTGTCAGCCAGCCCCCGAAGACATACACCATCTCGGTCACGATCAACGTCGGCAGGCGTTCCCGGTCAGTGTCCCAGAAATTGATCTGCAGAACGTTCCCCGCGAGGTCGGAGATGTGCACCTCGGTCAGCAGGCGATTCTTCTGGGGAAGGTCCTTGTTCAGCTTGGCAACGCGGCCGCGCACGTCCAAGGCCTGCGGCCGGCTTAATGCCAGGACGTCCCCCGAAGCCGTGGATGGCTCAACTTCTGCGGGCAGGTGAACGGCGTTTGGTTGATGAATGGGCTCGGCCTTCATTTTCTTGCGCAACAAGTTGAACGTGCACGTGTGAGGTGCTGAATGGTACTGATCGTTGCGTTTGGCCGCCTTCAGCTGGGTGAGTTTCCAAACGCTCCCAGGAACGTACTGCTGTTCCAGCTTGGCGATGATCTTGTACTGTTCGTGGCTCTTGCCGAAGGCCAAGCCCTCGCCGATGATGTACGTCCCGTCTTGAGCGACGCACCAAGCACCAAACGCGGTAAGTTGTCCTCCTGTGAGTTTCCGCTTATACACGTGGACGATCCGCAGATTCAGCTCGTGGGTCGCGGCGTTGCTGGTGTTGAAGGTCGTGACCGATGTCATCAGGCTGCTTTAGTTTGGGATCTCGGATGCACAATATGCAGTGTATTCGAGAATCGTTCGCTTGATGCGGAGCCTGACGCAGCTGCAGCGATGATGGATGACATGTCACAACAACGGCACGCGGTCGGAGGCGACCAGAGCGTGAACCTCATTGGGTGGTTTACGCTAGATTAAGACTTCAGATTGCACGCGGTGGCTTGTGAGCAAACAGCGCGACCACTTTTTGGGAAAATGACCGCGGGCCACGGCGTGTCCCAAAAAGTGGTCGCGTTGCGGCGTGACCGTCGGGATGGCAGGCAAGTAGGTTCATTTTCCGCAGGGCAGATTGTAGGAGGGTGGAGACATGGCCAACAAGACTCAAAGATCAGACGCTGTAGGTCCAGAGCGTTAACCTCATTGGGTGGCTTACGCTAGATCAGATTGCGCGCGGTGGCTTGTGACCAAACAGCGCGACCGTCGGGATGGCAGGAAAGTTGGTTCATTTTCCGCAGGGGCAAGTTACCGAAGGGTGGAGACATGGCCAACAATACCCAAATATCAGACGCTGTAGGCTTCTAACATGTATACTGGGACCTGCTTGTGGTAGTAATAGTTGTAGTAGAAGTAGTACTTGTAATAGGAGTGATTGTTTTTCAATGGAAATGGCCCTTCGACGTTCTGGGGTTTTGTTTCCGCTGAGGTTCAGGGCGGAGCAGCTCTTGTCGCAAAGAATAAGTAGGCTAACCTCGTACCCTTTTTCTTCACGCCGGGGCGCGCCATATTGGAGGAATCCGCACTCGAGCGCTGAGAGGCACTATAAACATAGGCAAAACCGATGTTTTTCTGCCGAATGCCAAGGAAAAACACTTTCGGTCAAACCCAACATACTCTAATTTCGTATCCTTTTCCTTCACCCTGAAGGGCGGCATATTTGAGGAATCCGCGCGCGAGCGCTGAGAGATACTACAGACATGCGCACAAACGTACATTTTTCTGCCGAGTGCCACGGATTAGTATTTCCAGCGTAATCCAAAATACTTTAACTTCGTGTCCTTTTCCTTCACGCCGGGGGGCGACATATTGGAGGAATCCGCGCGCCAGCGCTGAGAGGTACCACAGACATAGGCAAAAATCCACTTTGTTCCGCTGAATTGCAGGGAAAGGCAGTTCCAGTCAACATGATCGACCCACGAACCCGGAAAGGAATATAGAACTGTAACACATGGCAGCGTTTTCAAAGACACCTGATTGGGTGACGGGCAAATGCAATGCTGAATGTATCGATCTCGATGTACCCTGCCGAGGGCTGTGCTGTGTTGCACCGTGCTGAATTGCGATGTGCCATGCCGCGATTGTGCTCTATAGCCTCGTGGATCGAGTCCTCCTTTGCATCCGAGTCCTGACCGAACTGATCTCGATCTTAAGCTCGAGCTGCCTGAACACATAGTAGCTGCCCCAGAGCTGATAGACAGGGGAGCATGTCAGGAGGACGCGCCGCGAAACGTCCCAAGGGATGCGCCAGGCGACGTGCCAGGGGACATACCATGGGGTCGCACCGCGGGACGTGACAAAGGGACGCGCTAGGAACGTGCCAATGGAGAGTGCCACGGATGTTGCCTGGGGACTCGCCACAACGACTTGCCTGGAGACTACGCAAGGACGGCCCACGGCAAAGTGACACGGAAAGTGCAAAGTTGCAAGCTGAGTGTATCGATCTTGAAGTACCGTGCGAAGGGCTGTGTGTGTGCTGCGCGTGCTGAATTATGAATTGCGATGTGCATGCCGCGATTGGCCATGCCTCGATTGTGCTCTATAGCGTCGTGGATCGAGTCCTCCTTTGCATCCGAGTCCTGACCGAACTGATCTGGATCTTAAGCTCGAGCTGCCTCAGCACATAGTAGCTGCCCCAGAGCTAATTGACAGGGGGACATGCCTGGAGGACGCGACGCGGAACGTCTCAAGGGACCCGCCAAGCGACGTGCCAAGGGACGTGCCATGGGGACGCACCGCGGGACGTGCCAAGGGGACGCGCTACGGAACGTGCTGGGGACAAGCGTTTCGCTCGAGACATCCTGCCAACTTCCTCAGAATTCCTGCGCGCGGGACGCGGCACGCGCGAGACATCCTCGGAATTCTTGCGAGCGGGACGTGAAAACAAGCATTTCGCCTGAGACACCCTCTGAATTCTGGACCCCCACGAGGCCCCTGCTCGAGACATCCCCCAACTTTGCAAAACCAGCGTTTCGCTCGAAACGTCTTCAACAAATTATGAAAGACAAGCATTTCGCTCGAGACATCCTGCCAAAATTCAAGGAAATCCAAGCAAAACAAACGAACTAGTCGAGACATCCTCGAAATTCCTGCGCGCGGGACGCGGCACGCGCGAGACATCATCGGAATTCCTGCGCGCGGGGCGCTTTTCTGTGTCGCGGTCGGCTCTGCAAAACCAGCGTTTCGCTCGAGACATCCTCAACAAATTCTGAAAACAAGCGTTTCGCTCGAGACATCCCCAACTCTGCAAAACCAGCGTTCCGCTCGAGACATCCTCAACAAATTCTGAAAAACAAGCGTTTCGCTAGGGACATCCTCAAAATTATCGCAAAAGAAATTCGCCGGCCCTACAGCCGTCAAAACCGGGGGGAAACCAACTAAAAGAGAACCCTGGGCCTTTGCCCTTTCCGGGAAATAAGATGAGACTTTGTCGTCGTCATCGCCGCCGCCGCCGCCACCGCGACGTCGTCGTCGTCGTCGCGCTGTCCTCGATCCCTCGATCGTGTAAGCGGGGCTTGCAGACCCCAAGAGACTCCAGAGAACCCCGGAGACCCCCAACGAGAGGATCTTTGATGAGAACTTGTCGTCGTCGTCAGCCGCGCCGCCGCCACCGCGAGTGTCGTTCATCGTTATCGTTACCCCCGCTGTCTCGATCCTCGACCCCGTGGTTAAGCGTGGGCTCTCAACCGTCAATGAGACCTCCAAGAGACCCCAAGTGTACACCAACGCTTGGACTCTAAGAGAGACTTTGTCGGTCGTCGTCGTCGCCGCGCCGCCACCGCGACGTCGTCGTCGTCGTCGCGCTGTCCTCGAGCCCTCGATCGTGTAAGCGTGGGCTCTTCAGACCCCCAAGAGACCCTCCAAGAGAACCCCAAGAGACCCCCCCACGCAAGGCTCTAAGATGAGACTTTGTCGTCGTGGTGGACGCCGCCGCCAACGCGACGTCGTCGTCGTCGCGCTGTCCTCGACCCGTCGATCATGTAAGCGTGGACTCTACAAACCGTCCAAGAGAACCCCAAGAGACGTCGTCGTCGTCGTCGTCGTCGTCGTCGTCGTCGTCGTCGCCGCTCCCAGAGCCTTCGGGGCCTCTCCTTGGCCCTCCTACGGAAAAACCTGCAAAACCTAGCGAATTAGTCGAGACATCCTCGAAATTCCTGCGCGCTGGACGCGGCACGCGCGAGACATCCTCGGAATTCCTGCGCGCGAGTCTTCCATTGCATCCAAGTCCTGACCGAACTGATCTGGATCTGAAGCTCGAGCTTCCTGAACACATAGTAGCTGCCCCAGAGCTAATTGACAGGGGGAAATGCCAGGAGGACGCGCCGCGAAACGTCCCCAGGGACGCGTCAGGCGACGTGCCAAGGGACGTGCCATGGGGTCGTGGCTTGTGTGGGGTCAAGGGGAACGCGCTTCGGGAGGCCCTCAAAAATTCCTGCTGCGCGGGGACGTGGCACGCGCGAGACATCTTCCGAATTCCTGCGAGCGGGACGTGAAAACAAGCATTTCGCCTGAGACATCCTCTGAATTCTGGCCCCCCACGAGGCCCCCGCTCGAGACATCCCCAAGTTTGCAGAAACCAGCGTTTCGCTCGAGACAGCCTCAACAAATTATGAAAAACAAGCGTTTCGCTCGAGACATCCGGTCAAAATTCTAAGAAATCCTGACAAAACAAACGAATTAGTCGAGACATCCTCGAAATTCCTGCGCGCGGGACGCGGCCCGCGCGAGACATCCTTGGAATTCCCTCGAGCGGGACACGAAAACAAGCATTTCGCCTGAGACATCCTCTGAATTCTGGCCCCCCGCTCGAGACATCTCCAAATTTTGCGAAAACCAGCGTTTCGCTCGAGACATCCTCCACAAACTATGTAAAATAAGCGTTTCGCTCGAGACATCCTGCCAAAGTTCTAAGAAATCCTGACAAAACAAGCGAATTAGTCGAGACATCCTCGAAATTCTGCGCGCGGGACGCGGCACGCGCGAGACATCCTCGGAATTCCTGCGGGGGGAACGTAATAATGTGCATTTCGCTGAGGACATCCTCTGACATTCTGGGGGCCCCCGCTAGGGACATTCCAAATTTTGCGGTACAGCGTTTCGCTCGAGTGCATCTCCACAAACTATGTAAAAATAAGCGTTTCGCGTGCGCTCGAGATCTTCTGCCAAATTTTCCTGCAGTCGCGGTCGGGGCTCCAGACCCCGTTATTTTTCGAGGATTCTGCGAAAAACGCTCCGCACCCTCTTTTTTACGAGGGAAAGCGGGGGTCTGCGGACCCCGTTATTTATCGAGGATCCGAGATGGGGGGCGAACTTTCCTCGAGCGGGCACGCACAAAACGCACTTTTTCTAAAAAAATCAGCACTTTACCTCGTTATTTATCGCAAATAATTTCGCCGGCGCTTGACCCGTCAGATCCGGGGGTAAACGGCTAAAAGAGAACCCTGGGCCCAAGCCCTTTCCGGGAAAAACACAGTAGGCCAACCTCGTATCCTTTTCCTTCACGCCGGTGGGCGCCATATTGGAGGAATCCGCGCGCGAGCGCTGAGAGATACTGCAGACATAAGCAAAAACGTATCTTTTGCCGCCGAATGCCACGGAATAGTATTTTCGGTCAAACCCAAAATGCTCTAACTTCGTATCCTTTTCCTTCACCCTGGGGGGCGCCATATAGGAGGAATCCGCGCGCGAGCGCTGAGAGGCACTACAGACATAGGCAAAAACCCATATTGTTTTGCTGAATTGCAGGGAAG